CATTATCGATCTCATCATACAGGCTTTTAAGATTACAAGGGGAAATTTTTAACTTTTTTGGAAAGATTACTTTTAATTTAAAGATGTAGAAAAATTATTGGAGAAAAATGGACTCAATCTGAATCGATATTTTACTGAACTTCCTCTGTTCCCTTAAAATACACCATATATGCATTACAATGATGTCTTTGAAATCTGTGTTTAGTTAACCTATAAAAAGCCTCTTTGAACGGCGTCTAAGGTATTTATGGCATGGACTCTATAAAGTGGCCTGCTAGCCAGCTGGACAGCTCACTGAAAATAAAATGTCGGTGTAGTCAACAAAAGCAAACCACAGGGACGTAACAGTGTAAGAAATGTATTAGAATGGCATTTTTTCCATACTGGATGTGGCAAATGCAGAATGATCATTAAGGGCCAGGCTAATATTGTATTATTGATGATTGACAGGCATTGTCACTGGGTTGTGCTATTTGCATTATTTTTTAGTACTTTTAATGGAGACAGTGTGAAATTAAGCAACTGCTGTTTGTTATTAGCTTGAGAACTTTAAAAAAGAGAGAAAAATAATTAACATTTATTGACAGCCTGTTAAATCAGGAACCACGTATGAAGTTGGCCCACTGTCTTGCTCGACCCTTATGTATCACCAATGAAATCAATGGTATTGTTGCAATTCCACCGGAAAGGTATGGCCACTCAGAGAATTTAACTCCCACAGGGTCACACAGCATGTAATTAACAAAGCTGCTCTTCTGCTCTTTGAACCAAGCTATGTTGGATAAAATGTACAATTATATGGCAATAGGTGAAACTGCATAGAGCAATCAAAATGGAATAAAATCTACTTTATATGTTGGCATTAATCCTAGCAGCCCAATTTAATGTATCTTGAGGTGAAATCTCTTGATGACTTAGAATATAGTTCCTTTATAAAAATTTGCATGTGTGAGGGCTAGATGCGGATTAAATTTCTGCTCTTAGATTTTTAGAATGTATTGTCACTGTATAGATTTTAGACACTAAATACATGGAATCTCTACACAAATCTTGTTTCATCTCTGGTGAAACTTATAAACCTTCTGTTACCTTTTGTCCCTTTATTGTGGCAAGCTTTATGGGGTGTTGAAATTACTGGCCTCTGAATAAAAGCATCATTAAATTAGTGCAGCTAAGAATCAGTTTGGTGTTAGAGTTAGTTTTCATTCTGTTATTTTCATTGTCCCAGAATCGAGTTAGAGTAGAATTCATCTTTAAGGATTTATTGAGAAGTGTTCATTCATTCTTTTGTGAGTGCTTAGTGAGGTCTGTTGCTGGGAACTCAGAGATAGATGAATCTGGACAGGTACCATGGTGTACTTACCTTAATTCTTTTTTTAAAATATTTTAAAGTTTATTTATTTATTTAGGGGGGAGAGAGAGAGAGAGAGAGAGAGAGAGAGAGTGAGCACAAGCTGAGGAGGGGCAGAGAGAAGGAGACAGAATCCCAAGAAGGCTTTGTATTATCAGCACAGAGCCTGAGGCTCTAATTCATCAACTGTGACATCATGACCCCAGTTGAGGTCAAGAGTCAGATGCTTAACCAACTGTGCCATTCAGGTGCCCCTACCTTAACTCTTTATTAAAGATTTTTTTAAGGTCTATTTTATTTATTTTGAGAGAGAGAGAGAGCACAAGCAGGGGAGGGGCAGAGAGAGAGGGAGAGAAAGAGAATCCCAAGTGAGCTGTGTGCTGACGGCTGACAGTGACTGATGCAGGGCACAAACTCAAACCACAAGATCACGACCTGAGCCAAAACCAAGAGTTGGTCACTTACTGACTGAGGCACCCATGTCCCCCCCCCCCCATTTTTTTTCCCTGTCTTAAATCTTAATGAAAGATTTCTTTCTCCAAAAATTCATTTCACCAGAAATGCTGGTGATGTTCTCCAGAGTTTTAGGCAGTCCTTTAGAAGAGGATGTTTATTCTAACTTTTTCTTGACCTTTTTATTTGTCAAACCACAATTATGCAGCAGCCCAGTCAGCATTAAACACGTTTTGAACTCTCTAGGAAGCTGAGTTTATCTAATGTCAATTGCAGAGGCTACTCTGTTTTTTTTCCACACATGTCAATGAAAAATTCATGTGGCTTTGCAGAATTGTGTTTTGTAGTGGTTTTTGTTGTTGTTGTTGTTGTTGTTGTTGTTTGGTGTTTTTGTTTTTGTTTTTGCTACATCAGAATAACTTGGAATACTATTAAAATGCAGATCCCTAGGCCCCCCAGGTCTATTGCCACAGACTCTGGAAGAGGCTTGCTTGTCTGTATACTTTTTCACAAAATATCCTCAGTTGACTCTTAGGAACATAGCTTTTTGAAAGTGAGGTTTTAGTGCAATCGAATCAAGCTGTGCATAGAAAGGTAGCATATGTAAGAAATGCAATAGAATGACATTTTTCCTGAATGTAGTAAATAACAAAATGCAAACCACAGGTCTGAGCTTCTTTTAAAAGGTTTGACCTCTACTGACACGGAATATATATAAAGCCCATACGATTTCTCTCCTTCATTATTTCAATCTGTGCTGTGTTTAGAGGTAGAAGGGGCTGGGTGGTTTGTGTTAAGGGAGGCGCTCAGAATGAAGAGTTTATGAAGATTAGTGTTAGTATTGGCAAGGCCTGATTCAAGGCCCAGGGCTCCCTCTGTGCTTTTTATGGAGCTATAGAAACTGATCTGAGTGAATTGACAATAACTAAATCCTCAGGGTGAAGATAACTCTGCTTATTTTCACTTGTAAAGATCCAATATTAGTAAGAAATATGACTTGGAGATACTGAGAACCAGAATTTCCCCTCGAGCCAAGCTGTTCTTTGTCCTGAAAAAGCGGGTTTTCTCTAGAACACCTCACCTGGAGAGCCCTGAAATCAATTAAGTGTTTGTTATCCATGAACTGATTTATGTTGGCCAGTCATTCTCTGTGGTCAGTCTTGTGACTCAGTGTGTTTTTGGGTTGTTTTTTGTTTGTTTGTTTTGTTTTGTTTGTAAAAGTTATTTTTTGTGCAAATGCTTTCAAGCTGATAATATACTTGTGATCTCAATCAAGCATGATTTCATACAGAATAAGTCACAGATCTATAAATGTTCCTTTGTGAACATATCAATGTGCATAACGAAGAGATATTATAAAAATGACCTTCATGTCAATATTTTGTTTTTCTTTTGTTGGATATACAGTTAAAAATGTGGGGGTGCAGATGGCAATAGCACCTCCTGACCTTTACCTAGCTCACAGTGCCATGCAGTACCAAGGGCATGACGTATGCGTTATCTTCTCTGGTCTTCATAATAAACCTGTGGTGTAGGTTATATAGCAATTTTGAAATGGATGAAAAGCCTGAGACTTAAAGAAAGTTTTTTGTGCAATTCATACTGCTGATGTGTGAGAGACCTCGGCCTCTACCCCAAGTCTTGAGAACTGTACGTTCCTTGTATCAACTACTGTCCTCTACTGCCTTCTGGTTTAAAAAGTATTATTAGTGATGCTTTATTGCGTAAAGCTTGTTAAAACATGAAGCAGTATCCTATGACATTAGCCCTGTGCAGAAACTTACTCCTAAAAACCTGAATCAAAACAAGCCAGAAATAGGTCATTCAAATTAGGGTTGTAACAGATTTTTATCACAAACATAAGCATGCTGAGTCAGTGTACAGTTGAAGATCAAATTATGGTAAATGGATTTTTCTTAGAAAAATCAAAGAAGGCTCAGCAAGGTGGTTGACGGCTGCAGTTAAATAATGCTTTGACACTCACAAACAGTTCCAATTAGATTTATTGGTGAAAGAAGTTGTCAAGGTAATAATTGATGAGACCTGTTACTATAAAGACTTGACAACATATTGAAATAATATGGAAAGAGTGAAATGAGGATAGTATTGAAATAATATGAAACAAATCCCTCACAGTATTGCATATTATAGACTTTAATATATATTTTCCTTTTTAGAAATTTTTTGTAATGTCTGTTTATTTTTGAGAGTGAGACAGGCGACGGGGTGGGAGCAGCAGAGGGGCAGAAAGGGAGGGAGACACAGAATCTGAAGAGGTTCCAGGCTCTGAGCTGTCAGCGGAGAGCCCGATGTGGGGCTCAAACCCATGAACCATGAGACCATGACCTGAGTCAAAGTCAGATGCTTAACCAACTGAGCCAACCAGGCGCCCCAATTTAATACGTATTTCCAATGAGAAGAATCATCCCCAAAGGAAGGGTTTTTTCACATTTCTTACTTTATAGCAACTTATTTTGTTTCTCCATTTTACTTTGTAAATCTTTTGGAGGGTAAATATGTCTATTTCTTACTGTTGTTTAGTTCTTGGGCAGTGGAGACAAGACTTTGAAAGGTTAAACAGGCTATATTTTCACCAGTGTTTCATTGTACTTAGCCATCTGTATATACAGTGAGAATATGTGGGAATTTTTTTCTTTTCACCTGTAAGTTTCTTAATATATGGGCTTGTAAAGCTTACTAGTAATTTAATTTGGTTATGAGATACTTGTAAAGGTATTTAACTGAAAAGTCAGTGTGCCTTGAATCCTCCCAGTTCATTTCTTTGGAACTCAATACGAGTAAAAATAGATGTTCAAACTTCATGATTCTTTGGGTTCGTTAAAGTTAACCAGAAGATTTGCGAAGAGCTAATATTCTTTATTTGATATTCTTTATTTTAATATTACCCTGGCAGTTTGTAGATTTTTAAACTCCAATCTAGAAATATCAGGGCTAATATTAAAATAATTTCCTGTAAGGTTCAAAACTTTTTCAAGTGTCCTAACACCTCAATTTGATAATACATTTGGGTGAATTCATTACTTATTCCAGATGTACTATAAATTGATATGGACAGTGCAGTGTGTTAGAAACCCATGGCAGATCCAAGTGGTAGGTTTGCATAATTTTTATTTTTTAAGATGTGTCATTGTAATCTTTTTTTTTTAAGATGGTATTTTCCGCTTTTGTTTTTTAGGGTCGTTGCTCCAGGGAGAACTGCAAATATCTTCATCCACCCCCACACTTAAAAACGCAATTGGAGATAAATGGGCGCAATAACTTGATTCAGCAGAAGAACATGGCCATGTTGGCCCAGCAAATGCAACTAGCCAATGCCATGATGCCTGGTGCCCCATTACAACCTGTGGTAAGCATGTTTTCAGTTCTCATTCATTAAGTTTGTAATTCCAAGTGTTCAATTTCAGTATAAAGTAATGACTGCACTTCATCAAGTGAACGTAGGTAACAGTGTCCGTTCTCCAGCATTTTCTAGCAAAATTATCAAGCAAACCCGGAACCAGTTTTCACACTGTGAAGTTACTCATCTTGTGGCCAAGTCATGTGGAAATTTACATTAGAGCATGCTTTCCCCCTAAAACTCTCTTTACGTTAAATCTTATGATTGGCAGGTATTAAAATGGTCATCAGACTCACCAGTATAGTCTGTGCATTTGCAGACTATAACGGCAATAATAATTTTAAAATTTGGTATAGATCATCTTTAATTTTGAGAAAAATCTTCCTTTCCTTCCTTCCTTGAAGAGTATCTGTTGCATAGCTTGTGATTCTTTTAAACTCAGATTGCAATTATTTTGTAGTTACAAATGCTAGGAGAATTCTGATAGTGGTGAATCAATATCATACACTTGCAAGTCTCATTAAAAGAGAACTAATCGGGAGAGAAAGAAACTCCCAGGGCTTTTAAGCAAAGAGCTAAATATTCTAAACTGTAGGTGATCATAGAGATTTAATGTTTACTGAGCTGGATATGTGAATAACTTTTGATTCTGAGCACATATTTATTTACTTGGGGTTCGGGGGAGTATATATATGAAAAATGACTTTAATAACCTTTACCCACATTTACTCATAAAAATGTAAGGTTAATATCCTAAGTAATTTTAGATTGCAAAAGGAGTCCTGATATTAATTGTGATCTAGTAATTCTGTATTTAAATGCATGTTAAAATCTGAAATGATGAGAATATATCTTTCAGTAATTTATGTCACTAACTTATATGCAATATTAGAGGGTTATGGAAATGTGAAGACCCATGGGTTTCTGATATGCTAATTGTAAGCATGTGTGCTAACTAATTTTTTTCCAAATACATTTTAACACCTGAACTCAATGTAATTCTTATTCTCTCTTAGAACTTAATGCACCAATCATTCCAAAAAAGAGGGGGGGATTGCATTTCGAGGTGGGAGGGATCTCCATATCACATCGGCAGTAATACCAATTATCAGTACTATGCAGTTGAGGTGAGAGAATATTATAATTCTGTGTCTGTTTTAACCTGATTTTTTTTCCATTATTGGGAACTCAGTTAAAAATATGATATCTTAAATTTATTTTTGTGATATCTGCTAATATTATATCTGTACTGGGATAGCATGAAGATTTGGTTAAAGAAGTTTAGTTATGATCATTCTTGGTAGCATAAAATATAGGATAAGAGCTCTCTTTTGCAACTGGCTCTCTCGCACAGTTTCAAAGATCTGATAAATCCTTGGGGTGGCTCCTACTTTAGCTGATAGAAGATCTCTCATTGATGTGAGACACTTTGTTCCACTTAAACATTTAAAGCCTGCTTAGCGCCAGTCTCTATCCTCTCTGTGACCGGGAGCACCTCGAGGTCAACAAGTGTAATTCCCACGCTGTGGAAGCCAGTGCTGGTCATGGCAGTGAGCAGCTCACTGTGAAGCCTTGGCCCATCTCCTGAGTTAGTCCTTGAGCTCTGCCCTCAAGGCCATTCCAGGGGCATCACGTGGGTAATCCTGGGACGAACCATAAAAAATGTTTATGCTCATGTCTGTGAAATACAGTAACAAACGTGGTGTTTATGAAATCACGAAATCACAGTTTCTGAAACCATCAGAAAAATCACATTTTCTGGTGGTTTTGGTGGAAAGTTCTCTACTTCAACAAAACATTTATTTATATTAGTTGTGAGCACATTCAGGCTTTGTGTTAGTTTTCCCTGATATGACTAGATTTGAATGTGGAATTACCCTTCTGCTACAGGCATCCTGAGATCACAGTCTAAAATAGACTCTGTTCAGGGTGACTTTTTTGGTAATAAATATAGAAGTCGTTTTAATTATTCAATTTTAAAGTATTTGGGGCTTTAATGACTGTGGAGAAGGCTTTGTTCCAGGAAATTTGCCTTCAAAACCCCACCTGAGACTTTGCGATTCTTTGTGTAGTCAGCCCTATTTTGATGAGGGTCATGATACAGAGATTCGGAAATAAATGCGATGGTCATAACCAGCTGCTTACTGGAACTTTAATGCTGGGTCTACAAATAGGGATTATAACAGGGTTGGAAGCAGCCAGGATGGCTGCTAGGACAGATGTTAGTGTTTGAAGACAGAGCACAAATGTGGATCCAACCCAGGTAGTGGTTCTGTCAAAGATGATAACTGTGAGCACATCCTTAATAGCAGGAAGAGTAGGAAGGTCTGAGTAGTCTCATGATTTGTAGTCAAGTAGGTGAAGCATCTTAGTTTTCTAGGGCTAACCAGTTTGGCCCCCAAACCATAGCCTGAAGGACCACGAAGAGAAGGAGCTGGGAAGCTCTAATCAAATCCAGAAGCATCTCCTGTCGTGCCTGGCATATAACAGAGATCAAAAATTTCTTGATGAGTGAAAGAATGAAGTAAGGAGTTTCCTTCCCCAAATACAAGGAAGAGAGCAGAGGTTTGTGTTAGTTTACCTGCCCCTGTGATTCCAAAGGAATCATGAGCAGGAGCCAGAGTACAAGCCCAATTATAGAGACTGTGGCATGGAATGGGGCATATGGTCGGATATGTATTAGCAGAGGCAGCCAGGGGCCTGGTGAGAGTACCACTGAGACCAGGCAATAGCTACTATGTCCCTCAATTGGGTTTTCCTCTTTTCATAAATTTTCAGAGACCGGGTCTCTCAATTTAAGATCTTCAGAATATGACCTTGGGCTGACTTGGGGAATTCAGGGATTTATAGGAGAGTTTCCTGTTTTTGTGGACTTTATGATGTTGTTATGAAATGCGCCAAGCCAAGAACCAGAAAGAGGGCTTAACATTTTGGGAGCAAAGACAACACTCTAAGGGCATTTACTGCACTCACTATTTTTTGTATCAAAAATCCTCACAACCGTCCTATGAAGTAGATATTATTCTCTCAACTTCAGCAATAAAGATACAGAGGTTCCGAAAGGTTAAATAATTTGCAAAAGGTATTTGGCTCGTGTGTAGCACGACAAGGATTTTATCCCAAGCTGTTCAGGTTCCGGCATCAATGCTGTAGAAACACTAGTGGGAGACATCCACCAACCATAGCTCTGAGTCCGTGGTTGATTCATTGGAAATCTCTGGCCTTCTTCAACATACAGTGAACGTTTAAAATATATTTTCTGCAAGTTCCTAACAATCTTCTAACACAATTGTTCCCATTTTGTAAGATGAGAAAATAAGTAGTTGAAAATGACAAATTGAATTTATCTCTGTCTCCTCCCTAAAATTTGCATAATAAATGATTAAATAACTGCCGTTAATTCTATTATCATTTCTAAGCCCCTAATAAAAATGTCAAAAGATCATATTTCTCCTTATTATATTGATATTTGAAGATAAATGGAAGACCTGTAGGACTTGATTACCCAAATTTTAAAAATTAAGTATTTGTATTTTTTTCTAACTACTACTTTAAAAAATGATTGCATTGCCACGCACTGTCCTATGTAAAGATAATCCAACAAGAAAACCAAACAACCTAACCAAATATAGACCGTATCTTGTGGCTCACAACTCGGAAGCATCTGGTATATTCCTTTGGTCCATCCCAGAAAGGTGTCTTCAGAAATTCTGTTGATTCCAGCTGTCATTGCCCTTGAAGAACTCTGCATAAGTAGTGGTTATGGAGAGCTGTATCTGAGCTCTGGAGTCCCACCAGCAGTGACCTCATCTGCTTTTCTCTGTGCTCTCCAGGGATAACGTTGGCCATCCATAATTTCCAATGGCAGCTTCCCTTCAGGTACACACACCTAGCCGCCCTGAGGTACATAACTCAAGTTGAATTACTGTGCATTTCATGAATTTGAAGTAGCCTAGGGATAAAGAAATTCTGAGTTACTGCACTTAGCCAAAATCTTGGAAGCTTCCTTGCAGTACCCGTCGCCTCACCTTTGCTGTCACGGTGTTTCTCTGTCACAGCAGCTGGCAGTTGAGTGCTGAAAGCTTTGAAGTCATCATTTGTTACATGTCCAGGAACACCTAGAGTTCTTAAATTGGCTCTTAGTGCTTTACCTTCCAGTGAATTCAGCTAGTGATTGAGATAAGGCCACTTCATGACCAAGTGTTTCTGGTAAAATGTTTTCCACGGCCGTCATCCTGAGTCGTGCTCCCTCCACCTGCACTTCCAGTGCCTGTTTTGGTCAAGGAGTCTGTGCTTCCTGGAGCACCTTGACATTGGCCCAAATCTTAGGGACCAGGCCGTATGTGGTGATACCTTTTTACTTGATGGGCCAGACGTCAGTCTTCTTTATTTAAGTGTTATTACTTCATTAAAACTGATTGAAGGGTAAGGTAAAATTAAAGCTAGGTGGTCATTGTGATTTGCCCAGTCAGCGAGTCCGTCCAGAAGCGGACTTTAAATGGTATTTCTTATTTTAATTCCAGTCATATGTTGCCTTCTTATTAAAAAAAAAAAAAAAAAAAAAAAAAGACATCGCAATGTGAATTTGTTGAAATTTCCATTAGCTTTTGGCCATTTATATGCAAAACAATTGTTTACAGAGACTTCTGTAGCTCCTGTATAGGATTGTGTATACCCAGAAACATGGTTTCATACACCTTGATTGTGTGCTGTCGAGTAAAAATAAAGGTTTATTCTTTTACTGCTCAGGATCAACCTTTACAAAGACACATACACACACACACACACACACACACACACGCACGCACGCACAAGTAAAATTGAGAAAAATCTGACAAAATTTGTCTTCTGTAAATTGCAACAGACACTGATTAGATATTATTTATTATATGCACTCCATTAACTTTTTGTTAAAAGTCACAAACATTATATGCAAAATAAACCGTGATTCACATCATGTATTAAAATAAGTTAGGGCCCCTATGCTATTTGCCACATTACAGCATGGT